CCTTTTAAACTGTTGCAAGAATGTGATTGGTCGATATTCATTGTGGGTGGTGGGGGGAGGAGGGGTGTTAGATAGATATAGAGTTGTAGTAAGTAGATNATCCACACCAATCAGAAGTACTGTGCTCCACATGTACCAGCCATTGTTAACCAATCAGAAGTGGCCCATGATAGAAGGTGATAGACAGATTGATCCAATGATTGGATCAATCTGTCTATCACCTTCTATCATGGGCCACTTCTGATTGGTTAACAATGGCTGGTACATGTGGAGCACAGTACTTCTGATTGGTGTGGATGACTGACACACAAGAAGAACAAAAACAAAATGTTAAAAGAAATCGCAGGCTTTGCGATTTGATAATCGCATCATTTAAAATCGCGATTTCGATTTAAAATCGATTAATCGTTCAGCCCTATTCTGTTGCATGTAGTAGAAGTGTGCCAGATAACAGTAGTACAAATAAAAGTATATATTGCACATTTATTACGGATTTTGTTACAGTAGTTGAACTGAAATCAAATGCAGGTGTCTGCATGCTGATCAGCTTCTTTTTCCTGCCTCTTTTCCCTCAGCTCATATTCAACCCTTTCTTGAACTTCCACATTTGCTTCACTGACTCTGTCCTTCCTCTCTCCCCTGCAGTGTGCCCGATGCATTGTAAGCATCGAGCCTGCACCAAGGACGACCTGTGCTGCCACGACCAGTGTCTCGGCGGCTGCCTGAAGCCCCACTCGGCCGATCACTGCGTGGCCTGCCGCGGCCTCCAGCACGAGGACAAGTGTGTGGACCGCTGCCCCGAAAACCACTTCACTTACAGAGGCTGGCGCTGCGTCTCCTTCGGCTTCTGCCAAGACCTCCACAACAGATGCAAGCACGAGAAGGAGCGCAGCAAGAGCGCCGACTGCCACGAGTACGTCATCCACAACGGGGCCTGCATCCACGAGTGTCCCTCCGGCTACACCACCGTCAACTCCTCCTCGTAAGTGGACACTCATGCCGGTCTGATGGGCTCCTGATGGTCTGATGGAACAATGTGTGATCAGTGAAGCTGGCTAACAGAACACTTGTTATTATCTGGTGTGAAACAAATGGTGGCTGCTAGGAGCATTCACTGGCTATATTTTATTTACTCTTATTCAAACTCTCAGCAAATGTTCTACATTTTTCTATCAACTTATGAAATCAACCATCTAGTTGAGTGTCAGCTTTTCTACAAACCTTATAATATTCCTCATCTTTTATACCTTATTGGTACTTTCAAACCTTTGAATCCCATTCCAAAAAATGTGACTCTTCCCCACTAATACAACTCATTCATAGTCCTTCAGCTGCTTCTGGATACAGATTTAAGCCAGAAATGCCGTTGTTGCCTCTTCCTAAAAAATGTCCTCCTCTAGTTTGATGTTTGTATTTGACCCAAATAGATCAGGCAGGTGACTAGGAAGAAAAAACTAAAGACATAAGAAGTAGTTTTTCAGATTTGTATCTTAAAGCAAAAAGCTTTTAATCTTTTATAAAGAAAGTGAACATAACGATAGCAACAACAGACTCCATTTTAAAAGAAAAAATAGTTAAAGCTCATAAAAAAAAAGGTGGTGTTAAATTATAATTTCCTGCCTTGGTTTAGTTATTGTCACTCTGTTCAGAACACAGAGTGACTCAGCAGGAACTGGAGGTCCTACTGAGCTCAGACAGCACTGTTTATGAGCACATACACACACACACACACCTCTTTGTAGCGTGTGTGTGAGACCGCAGAAAGCCATCTCAAAGTGGTGCAGCGCAGTAAGCAGCCTGGCACATCCTGGTTTCGGAGCCTGACTGTATCCATCTGCGGAAAAGAAAAAAAATTCTCACACGCCTTACAAATGATTGATGATTGTTTACCAACTGCTGCTGTCCGCATTGCGGTGAGCGAGCTATAGTCGCTGACGTGTGAAGTGTTTTTTCCCTTCTTATCCCCATCTGTAATTTACAACCAGTTGTGTGCATATCTTGGTAAGCTTCATCCGAACAGACTTCCCTCCCTGAAGTGTGGTGTTGTGGTTGTGCTGAGTTGCCATTGACCTTTATCGCATCCCTCTTTGACAACTTCACTGACCGTGACGGGCTGTTGATTAGTGTGGGCGTGGCTGCGAGAGTCTGCAGACAGCACTAATCACTCTGCTCGGGCAGAGGTTGAAAACGCAGCTGGATCTTTCAGGACTTATTGTCTTCTGTTACAACAAGACTGGGAGGCACTTAAACTCCAGGGGAGGCTGTCAGTGACCCGGGGAGCAGGACTCCATTGGCCAGCTGCAAATAGAGAGTGAGTGTGTCTGGCAAGCAGCAGCGTGGAGCAGGCAGCCTGCCTCTGACGACAGTGATGACAGGCAAAAAGTAATGTGTGTTTAACCTTTATCCATCCAGAGAAGATTTGACAAGCACCATTCATCTCTGTTCAAACAACACACAGCTTCACATTCATGGAGTGACACACCTGGGATGTTTCTACCTGGACTCTGTGAGCAGATGAGGGTGAAGTGCCTTGCTCAAGTGCTACTGATGTTTGTTTGATCACTGTTCAGATCCAACGTTTGAGATCAGAAGAAAATCACACACACCCAGATGTTCCTTTTTGTGCAACAGAAATAATGAAAAGTCCACATAGATTCATTTATAATCAGTTAAATAAAATGCTTCAAGCTGTAGTGCATTTCATCAGGCTTGTAAAACAATACGAAACATTATTAACACATTTGTTGGGTTCAAGTTCTTTGTTCACATCATATGCGCAACAATTACACTTGGCAGTCATGGCAATGCAATCCTTAGGCCTCAGGCACTCTCCAACAATGCTCATTAAGTATTTATAAAAATTGAAGTCATTCAGTTGAACGCAAAATCTGTATCTAAGACATAAGCTATTGAAGTGCAAGTTAGTATTGCAAATGAATAATATGAATGTAAACGTTGCTTAAAGGTGCATAATGAGAATGAATGAGGAGGAGCTTGATACACGGCAGCCATCTTCAGTGCCAACTTTAAAGGGTTTTGTCATAAAGGCATGACTTCTGGTTTATATCAAATCTATTTTTTGACACCACGTGCTTTACACATAACATTAATTGCATTATATGATACTGTCCTCACTTATATAGATATATTTATTTTTGTTCAGCAGAGTTTAAAACAATAGGAATGTTGTAATAACGAAATAAAAAATGTACCGATTACAAACATTTAAACAATAACATCACATTAGTGCATCTCAATATAAAGCAATATATGTTATTGTGTACTTTTTGCCTACATTGCACAGGTGAAACTTGAGCTGCTCATATCTTTTTTAACAATGCTTTTTCATTAAAAGGAGCCTCTCGATGGGCAGATTTGATCCCTTCCTGCCAGGTGATCAGAGCTGTAATCCAAACCTTTATACCAGCGCTGACCTGTGATGAACCCACCCTCATCTCAACCTCTGAATCCCGTTCTGTTCCCCTTATGGCACAGCTCTTCTCTTTGGCATCCGTCTCCCGTCTCTGGCTTCAACCTAAGCTGTGGAAATGAAAGTGCTTTGTGGATAAGCGGTGTACTCCAAGGCGTTATGAGTGTCTAGGCTGAAAGTGCAGATGTGGCACTAGAGAGGGAAAAAGGTCAAGAGATATGTAACAATGCCATAGACCTTCTTTTGTTTGCAAGACACGCTTTTCAGCTATTTTATCTTTTGTGTTTTGTCAGTGATGCTTTGTTTTGTTATTTAAAGCTGTCATGAATCTTTTACAAGTGCCTCTGTACCCTCTGCTTTATACTCCTCCTGTTTTAACATATACTTGTAGATTAGTGCCATGATATCTGAAGCTGCCACCAGCATCCATTATTTGGCATCCACAAAAGAAATGCCACATTCTTCTGTAATTGTTGTGACAGCTTAGTCAACCGTTGCTAAACAATGGTACTCTCCCTTCATAAACCAACCAACCAACCAACCAACCAACCAACCAACCAACCAACCAACCAACCAACCAACCAACCAACCAACCAACCAACCAACCAACCAACCAACCAACCAACCAACCGGCCAGCCAACCAACCGGCCAACAAGCCAACCAACCGGCCAACAAGCCAACCAACCGGCCAACAAGCCAACCAACCGGCCAACAAGCCAACCAACCAACCAACCAACCAACCAACCAACCAACCAACCAACCAACCAACCAACCAACCAACCAACCAACCAACCAACCAACCAACCAACCAACCAACCAACCAACCAACCAATCAGCCAACCAGCCAGCCAGCCAGCAAACCAACCAACCAACCAACCAACCAACCAACCAACCAACCAACCAACCAACCAACCAGCAGCAACAAATACTTGAACACAATCAAGACAAAAACTCTGTGAAAACAGCTCATCATTGTCTCATTGTCACCTTAAATACTACATTTGAACCTTCAAAAACAGCAAGTGTCTCCTCACTTTGTGAATCTGAGAGACTGCTGTGTACTTTATATTTAACCTCATCATACAGTAGATAGCACTGACCACATTATAAGTGTGGGGATTGCACAGACAGCTTTTCAGGAAATGGGTTAATATGGTTGACACACAAAGCCATGACCATACACCGGTTATGAGAAGACACTTGTTGTGAAATCATTGCATCAGCCAGGTTGTTTGTCTTGCTAAGACGAAGGGTCGGGGTCTGCTAATTAAAAACACAGGTTGAGTGAAGCTTCTTGTTTTAGTGTTTTTGTTTTGCATTCAGTGCAGCTTTGACAGTTCACCACCAAATCAAAAATACATATTGTTTTTCTTTCAGGCCATAAATGCCTGTCTTGTGAATATATAACGGAACTATGTGGCACTCGGCTTGTTGTGTTCAGAATACCCCAAATATACATTTTTAAAACTTAAGTCCTGACCTGGTTACACAAGATCAAACCACAATCTTGTTGTGAGTAGTTTTCTTTTAGGAACTTACTAAGTTCTCTCTTTCTCTTCCACTCGGCAACTCACACAAGAAATATATAGTTTGAAAGAAAGCTGTCTTTGGCAAGAAGAAATGTATGGATTGTTATGAAGGTTTATGGTGCAATCAATGTTTTCACTACTAGCTCATAGTAATGTATCCACAGAAACGAGTTTTCCGCTCTACAGAAAGATTTGGTGTTTTTAAAGTGACTTTTGCAGCTGTCTGTCCAGCGACTTTACTGTTTCACTTTAATATCACTGCTTATCAGCTCATTCAGACATAACAGGCAGCAAGTTTCAGCAAAAACAAAATCAGACTGTTCACGACCTGCAAGCCAGATGCTTCTAGTATGTCTGTGTTAAAGAGAACTGTAAAAAAAAAAATGGAATTAACTTCAAAGCACATCTATCAGTTTTGATTTGTTGCTCCTACACACATATTTCAGAATATTTGACTAATCTTTGTTTTTTGTCACGCTTTTCTTCAATAGGCTGATCTGCACTCCCTGTGCAGGGCTCTGTCCGAAGGTGTGTATGGGTCTGAAGACGGTGGACTCTGTGACGGCGGCCCAGGCTCTGAGAGGCTGCACAGTCCTCAACGGGAGCCTCGTCATCAACCTGCGTGGAGGAAGTGAGTATCTGTGCTGTAATCAGATTACAATATACAACAATAGGAGACATTATTACAAATAAACTAGATTGTAAATTGAAATAAAATCACAATTAGAATCTGAGACCACTCTGAAAATTAGATGATCTCAAGTGGTTCATTGTGTTTTTATAAAACAATTGAAATATTTTGAACAAAAATACACCAATATACATGAATGTAAGGGGTTTGCATGATTTTGTGTGATTAAAAGGATGTTTTGGTTCTTCAGAAAATGCATTTGTCCTTTCTCTAAGAAAAGGCAAGAAGCTAGTTTTAGATTAACACACAATATTTGTTTCAGATTTGTAGCACATTTAACGTAACCATTAGCACGAAGACACATTGGGCATGAACAGTCTATGACATTTTATAATGAAAATGTCTAAAAGTTTATTTGATTGTAAACTATAATTTCTTTGCCAGAACAGTTTATTTTTATTTTTGCAAAAAGAAAGCTGGGATGAACAAAACAAAGAATTGAAAACAGAGATCAGTTTGTTGCTAAACAACAGATGCCTGAGGAGCTTCAGCGCTGAGCATGCTGGGCAAGCACAGGTCACTTCAGGGCTTTTTCTTCTGGTTTTCTGCAGACAACATCGCAGCTGAACTGGAGGCCAGCCTGGGCCAGCTGGAGGAGATCACTGGATACCTGACAGTGAGACGTTCCTACGCCCTCGTATCCCTCTCGTTTTTCCGCAAACTCCGTGTTATTCGTGGGGAGGAACAGGAAATCGGGTGAGTCTCCTTCTTCTGAGCCTCGTCTCATCCTCGCCATGTCACAGCCTCTGCCTGTAATTATGAGTTAAAAGCGGAAGGACTGACCTTTTTCAAAATGTCTTTCTGTGGTAACTGTTTTTTGTTAGATGCTCCCAAATCATATATGAGGTTTAATTCAGTCGAGGTGGAAGGCACTTGCAGCACATTGGGCTACACTTAAGCATGGCATATGATGCAAAATGTGGGCTAACCACTCTCAGACACTTTTACATTTTTCATATGATCCTCAGCTAAATCCTATGCATCATGAAGGATATGTTTCATGCAATTTTGTGTGTTATTTTCCAGAAATTACTCGTTCTATGCCCTGGATAACCAGAACCTGCGGCAGCTCTGGGATTGGTCCAAACACAAGCTGACCATCCTTCAGGGACGCATGTTTTTCCACTACAACTCCAAACTCTGCATGTCGGAGATCCGCAAGATGGAGGAGGTGTCGGGGACCAAAGACAGGCAAATCAAGAACGACATCGCCTCCAAGACCAACGGAGACCAGGCCTCATGTAAGAACCTCTGAAAACATGCCAGCTGTTACAGGAGTCACTATGGCAACAGACGAGTCGACTCTGGTACAGACACAAACAGAGTCCTAGTTATTGTTATGATGGTCATTTCCTGTTCCTATATGTTTACTGATGGATTAACTGGGAACAACCAACAGAGCAAAGCAAAGAATAACTGTTGACATGGTAACAGTGATATAGGTTTTGTCCTATTTGTTTTTTCTGTCTTTAACTACATATTCTGATCTAGGTGACGGTGAGCAGGGATGAGTTTATGCTGTTTCATTATAGATTGAGACAAGGGGATAATATTTTATATGTTTTTGATACTTTTACTTTATTCTTTTGAAAACTAAAGAGACTCATGGTTCCAACGTGTCCTGGAAAACATTTTTAGTCAGGGAAAAGAGCGAGAAAGTAAAATGTCCTGGAAAATCTTGTGGAAAATAATTTCAACTTTGCACCGTTTTTTTCTTCCGCTTAGAATGAGCTGTAACAGAAAACGTTGTTATCTGAAAAGGTGACGTTGTGTTCAGGATCATATCACTGTTTCCAATGGTAGTTTATGAACAAGAGTATTTCCAATAGGCTGCCCCTACAGTATGTTGTAATGTGAACACACCCACATGTCACATGATAGCAGATGCTGGTTGGATGGCATTACAGGGTGATGCTTTCTTCTACACTTGTTTTAAACGGTTAAATATAGTTCAGTTGCTAAAGTTGGGGTGCTTGCTAGTAGGGCTGCTCGATTATGGCAAAAATCATAATCTCGATTATTTGGGTCAATAATTGTAATTGCGATTATTAAATGCGATTATTCATTGACTTTGGAAACATCCATTTATTGTACTTTAAAACAAATACAAATAATAATTTGAACGTTTTAACTGTTGAATTATACGTTCAGGGTAATCAACTGAAAAACCAATACAAAATAAAAAAATTATACATTCATATCTACATTTAAATAAATTATATAAAAATAATAAATACCAATAAGCGGGTACAAGCGGCCGAGATGGGTTTTCTCCGCAGGGTGGCTGGTGTCTCCCTTAGGGATAAGGTGAGAAGTTCGGTCATCCGGGAGGGACTCGGAGTTGAGCCGCTCCTCCTTCGCGTCGAAAGGAGCCAGTTGAGGTGGTTCGGGCACCTAGTTAGGATGCCACCTGGGTGCCTCTCTAGGGAGGTGTTCCAGGCACGTCCAGCTGGGAAGAGACCAAGGGGTAGACCTAGAACCAGATGGAGGGATTATATCCAGGGGTGCACATAAGTGGTACGCAGGTACGCATGCGCGGCAACAATCTGAAATGCGTACCGTCACTTGTGTCACAAAGCGCATTTGCGTACCGATGTATATGTGAAGCTTTTCCATAAGGNGAGCTGGTGGATGTTGCCAGGGAAAAGAAAGTTTGGGGCTCTCTGCTGGAACTGCTACCTCCGCGACCCGACCACGGAAAAGCGGGAGAAGATGGATGGATGGATGGAAATACCAATAAACAAGATCAACAAACATGTTGAAGTGCACTCTGTCCCAACCTGAAAACTCCTTAACATATAGCCAACATTTTGGTAAAACATATTCAACATATTCATTTTTTTTTTAACAGTATGTTTTTAACAGTTGATTACCTGAACTTTAAGCATAACTCAACTGAAAAACCAATTTAAATAATTTTTATAATAATAATTTTTAAAAAATCGTTATATTTCGATTACGTTGTTTTCGTAATCGTTGCAAGCCATAATCGTAATTGCGATTAAAATACGATTAATTGAGCAGCCCTACTTGCTAGCTTGTTTTGCGTGCAAACATTTAGCAGCCGGGTCATAACAGCAAACTGGAGCCCAACTGTATACCGGCAGTGGCTCAGTCAGTAGGGGCTTGTACTGGGAGCCGTAGGGTCGCCGGTTCAAGTCCCCGACCAGACCTAAAAATGGAGTCTGGACTGCTACTTGGAGAGGTCCCAGTTCACCTCCCAGTTCACCTCCTGCCCTGTCGTGGTGCCCTTGAGCAAGGCACAGGACAACCCCCTCCCCCCCACTTCCATTGCTCCCGCTGTACAATAGCTGCCCACTGCTCCTAGTACTAGACTCCTGGTACTAAGATGGGTTAAAAGCAGAGGCCAAATGTCACCGTGTGCTGTGTGCCCATTAAAGAGGGTTTCATCCCCCCCAATATTATTATTAGTCAAATACAGGATTAATACTTGCTATTTGTAAATGGTAGCTTTACAATGAAGTGCTGTTCTTTTTGTAAGAGATAAGTTATAGCCATGTACTCCAATTTTTATTTTGGTTCTTTTTTTTCTTGATCAGGTGAGAACCATCTGTTGAGGTTTACCCAGATCCGAACCATGAGCGATAAGATAATGGTCAAGTGGGAGCCCTTCTGGCCTCCAGATTTCAGAGACCTGCTGGGCTTTATGGTGCTCTACAAAGAAGCGTAAGTACATTTTAAATCCATCTTTAACATTCAGACCTAGATCTCTGCCAGACAAATATTTTATTAGCTGCCATAGTACATTATATTTAAGAAAAATATGAATTGAATCAGATCAGATGAATTTTGGATGGTGTTAATGGCAAAACACTTGATATAACACAACTACTCTGTTACTGTTTACAATATTAGCCCGGTACTTTACTCTATAACATCAAAACATCTGAAAGAGTCTCTTCAAATAATTACACTGAACTGACTAAGAAGTCATTGAAGGAAGCATTTTAGATTCAACACAATAGATGTAACATCCTCTGCCTGAAGTAGCATTACCACAGAAACTAACATGAGGTCACCTGTTGGCTTTAGTGAAGCACCAAACAATGAACTGGACATCAATCCTGCAATATATTGTATCACTAGGTCATGCAGGTTGAGTTTGAATTAATTTAAAGGTATTATTTATTTGTATTCAATAGTTTTGGACCTTTATTAGTTTTTAAAAAAAATCCTGTTTTAACCGCCTCTTCTGCCTCAGAGGTGTTTTGTAAAGCTTTTTACCTTCACTGCCTGGCCAGATATATTCCATGATAAATGGCTGTAAAACATCAAACTGAAACTCAATATCCTTTTCTCAACTGGAATACAATTTAAGCCTGCATATCACTTTTTTTCCCCTTATCATCTACTGTTATTGTTTTTCCCCCAAAATAGAACTTTTCAGAACGTAACTGAGTTTGACGGGCAGGACGCCTGCGGCTCCAACAGCTGGGTGATTGCTGACGTTGACCCTCCGCGCCGGGCCACAGATGGGGACAAGGAGCAGTTTGAGCCGGGTCACCTCATCTTGCCTCTGAAGCCGTGGACGCAGTACGCCATCATGGTGAAAACGCAGCTCTCAGCCTCTGACGAGCACCAGGTCCACGGAGCCAAGAGCAAGATCATATATGTCCGCACCAACGCCACCAGTAAGACTGATTCTGTGTTGTTCACTGGATATCCAGTTAAATACTCCCCCGATTTATTTGAAATCTCTGGATTATTCATTTATTATGTGAATAACAGATAAGCTGTTTAAGAAAGTAAAAAAAGATGGTATCAGTAAAGGCATGAGGTTACAGTAACGGACATGAACAATTATTATCATCAAGCAATCTCTTAAAAGAAAATTAATGTTCGAGACACGTCTTCCTTAATTAACAAAACGAGTAAAAATCTCAAACCTCAACCCAAATTCTCAAGGTTATCAAAAGATGCTGTTATTTGAAGCTCCAGGTTACGATTTGTGGAGAAAAAAATTCGCAAAAAAAAGCCTTTTTCTTTTGACTTCTTTTGGGGTTGTCTGCAATCCACATTTGTTGTGGTGTCACTATCATTGACTGGTGCACTCCAGTGTTGTGTGTGTCAGTCTGTCAGCTCAAAAAATGTCCTTGGCACAAGAACAGGAGAGAGGCAGACAGATGGCACGATCCGCTCTGGGCGCCATCGACCGACGCTGTGCTACCTCGTGCAGCAAGGTGTCTGCAGCGGGCGGTCACGCCACGATGATGAATCTCTTCCCCAGTACTTAATTGTAATCTGCCACCCACGGTGTGCATCGTGTACAGATGAATTTGTCGTAGTCATGATGGCCCGTCTAACCGGCTTCCTTTTACACAATGAGCTCTTCCTTCCTGATAAACCGCATCAAACATGACATCCTTCGCTCACCCAACAGGCTTCCAGCAGCAGACCCATCACTCAGTCAGTCAGAGATGTCGGGAGGGTTGTTTTTTTTACCCGTCTGGCAACCTCCCCGGTTCCTGGTCTGTCTCATGTCTAACCAGAATGCCTCTTCAGAAGGGCAAAGCTGTCATTACGAATAAGCTGCTGCTGGTGAAACTTAGTCTGACAATGCAGTCGGACCAGTGTGTGGCACCGTCATGAAACAGGGACAACCCGATCACACTGTGACGACCCAGCTCTCTGTGTCTCCTCAGGGTTCAGCCTGTCGTGCTTCCTCCCGTTCATTCCCCTCTACACAGTTTCTGTTCAGTGATATTTCTATTCTCTCTGAACTCCTAATTTACCTCAGGCCGGGACGCTGTTAATATGGAAGGTGTCTGTTTTTTTTTGCCTCCCACTCGAGAATCTGATTCATCGTCTACTTAAAAGACGGCTCAGCAGACGGACAGTTATACGGTGATGCCAGTCTGTGTTCCCGCCACATGTAGCTGGTGACCTCTTTTTGTACTCTGTACTGCACAGAATACACACTTTGTAATCAGATGCCCATATTTGGTGCAAATCAATGATCACAGAACTTGGTTAGACAGAAGCTAAATACATTTTGCCAGCTACATTTAATTTTCACAAACAACAAGCAGTTAGTGCAAGAGTTCCCATACTGCTATTACAACTCACACTGCCGCATGTTTATCATGCCTCTTGCATTAGTGGAGCTAATCTGTGTTCACTAAGTAGGGTCGAATTAGGAATAGAAAATGTATCTTAACATGCAGTTTGTTTTGCACCTGGAAATTACACGTAACTTTACAGTCGTGAAATGATACTTACATTTCACTGATGCACCTTAAACTGCGAAGGATGCATAATTGTGAAAACCAAGGTTAATACAGTGAGAAGAATAACATTTTAAAGAGTTAAACATTTGAATCAAATGGAATATTGATCACCTTAAAACAATTAGGAGAGAAATTGATAACTAAAAATGTATTTTCTTACAGCAACATTTTTTAAATATTATATGTAGGTGAATGCTTTTTTTTATAATATTAGTTAATTGACCCATCAACATCTTATGATTTTATATTTGTATTCATAATTAAACTTATTTTTAAATAGTTTAACAGGTGCACCCTATTCCTTACAATTGTGTACATGTTTGTAACTGTTTTTAAAAAGTGTATTTATGTGCTTTTTTTTGTCACGTTTTAATCAACGATTATGCGTATGCTTTAAGAAGCCCTGCTGAACATCAACCAATCCCACTTGTTAAACCTCTGTATTCCTGTGATCTCTCCTCAGAACCCTCTGTCCCGCTGGACCCCATTTCCTCGTCCAACTCGTCCTCTCAGATCATCCTCAAGTGGAAACCTCCCAACGACCCCAACGGTAACATCACCCACTACCTGGTCTTCTGTCAGCGGCAGCCGGAAGCCATCGAGCTCTACAAGTTCGACTACTGTCAGAAGGGTGAGCCGCATTGTTGTGGTCGTCTGTTGTTGTGTCTGCGTCTGAGTTTGTGGTTTGACTGTCGAAGAGCAAGAGAGAGGAGGAATGTCTTCTGTCATCTTCACATTACTAGAAAAGCTCCTCCCACTCAACAGCATTTCAAGCTCTTAACTGCTTCCGATGACCCCAATAGGTAACATGACATTTTAAGTACATATTAACTCTGGGGTGTGAATCTTAATGCATCTCCGTTCATCAGTTCGATTCCAATTCAAAAAGGCTATGATACCTTTATAAATCAATTATTGAAGCATTATAGGTTTTGCAGAATTTGTTGCTACTTTTCAAATAGTTTTTTTTTTTTTACATTTAGCCATCTTAACCATGACTCAAGTGGTAGTAGTTGGTTCAGCCACAAGGAATGAGAGCCCGTTCTTAGGGGAGAGTTTAATATTTCAGCTCATTAATTTGTCTACATAAAGACCTACTTTTAACTTAAAGGGGACCTATCATGCAAAATGCACTTTGTGATGTCTTTTATACATAAATACATGTATGTGTCCCCGGTGCGTCGGGGAACTCACGCAACGTCAGAAAATAAAACCCTCTCTCTTTTCCTCCGTACCCAAAACTTTTAAAAACAGGGGTACAACGAGCGGATACAGATTCCATCCGAACNGTGTGCCTTTGGCAGTCTCAGGCAGCGTCAGAAATAAACCCTCTCTCTTTTCCTCCGTACCCAAATCTTTTAAAAACGGGTGTACAACGAGCGGATACAGATTTCCATCCGAACTGACGTGTCTATCCGTGGTGACGTCGGCGGACCCACAGAAAGTTGCTATCAGAAACAATGCCTGACGTGTTTTGGACGTCTTTGTTTACATTAGCAAGCCTCGCTAACACTCAGAGCTAACCTGTAATGTAGAGCACATGTGTTTTTAAAAAGCAGGGAATAAAAAAAGAACTCACCTTGTGATAAACCCGCAAGAGAAAAAGCATTTGAGCTCCATACTGTTTCAGAAATTATCTTTTGATGTGATTTAGAATAGGATGGCGTTTTATCACAGCAGAATTTAACTTTATCTCCGGTAGAATTCTGATCAGGCATTAGCTCCGCCTCCTCTTATTTCTTTTTTTCAAGCTAAGGACCCAAGATCCGCATTTCTCTAACAGGGCTTCAAAAGAGGGTTTGAGGCATGGCTACAATGGGTGAACTGTTTGGTATTTTGAAAATAAAAAACTTCAGACATGTTTTGTATAGGTATGGCCCTACAATATATGTTTCAAATATAGCATGATAGGTCCACTTTAAATTACATTATTTAATTATCAAAAAGAAAGCATACCATCTTAACGGCAACAATTCAAAAACAAACATCCAAAACTAAATCAATAAAAATTGTACAAACAACCATCAAAATCTTATCCTCATTTTCTTTATATATTTGTTTGCTTACTTCATTTACATAAAACAGTATTAAGTTTGAAGAAACTCCTACAAATCAACAGATATTTAACCTTTTTTTAAAAGCTTTCATTAGCTGGCAGATCTGGAAGAGTGGCTTGTCTTTTTTAGAACATTCAAATCACCAAAACTGGAGTTAATAAATGCCAATAGAAATATGTCAAAGAAACAGTGTTCATGGTGTCTCAGCAGGAAGGACAAACAAGGGCAAGAGAAAAGCATTTCTGGAAAGGTTTTATCTTTCAAACATAGTGGCACATTTGTTTGAGTTGAACCAAGATCTAATCTCTACCCTTGAGCGAGAAAATCTAGTGCAGTTAAGGTGATCTCTTTATTTGCTTAGTATTATTTCGACTAATGTACGTGAAACCTGGCACTGGATCTTCCCCTCACTCTGCCTCAGGTTCAAGCTAAGTTCAGACATCTATCTTGGTTCACTTTTTGCTGTCTCAGCCTGACCTTCACGGATGCACTGCCATCAGTTCCCGACAATGTTTGCATAAAACTGAGCCCAAACTTTCCTCTTCTGAACTCCCATCCCTCCCTCACATCCTGGAGGGATAGGAGTCAGTAGGAAGGCAGTGTCACTGGTAATTTATCTCAGAGACGGGGTGAGGACTCGGTGATGACAATGACAGACTCGCCCCTCAGGCTTGTGCCAGTGTGTACGTTGATGTTTGTGCATAAAACATGTCCGTGTTTATTGCACCAACAATCCCATTCACTCCCTTGTTCTGTTCACCAGGGATGAAGGTGCCGTCTCGAGTGCCCACTCAGGTGGACAGTGACGAAGAGCAGAAGTGGAACCAGACGGAGGATCACGGCCAGGGGACGCGGTGCTGCGGCTGCCCCAAGACCGACAAGGAGCTGAAGAAGGAGAAAGAGGACTCGGAGTACCGCAAGACCTTTGAGAATTACCTCCACAATGAAGTCTTTGAGCTCAAGTAAGACAACTGACAGCAGAGTACTTCTTTTAAGAATTAAACGTAAGGAAAATGTCGTGTTTTTGTTTGATTTGTTTTCAGAGAGCTATTTTTTTTCTTTGTCTTCATGTTGTCAAACTCAATACACTGCAACATTGATTTCCATTTAGCTTCCCACAAAACATGTTCCATCTTGTGTTTGCTATTTGGATCCTGCTGAGCACTCTTTTATAAGAGAGTATGAGTATTTGTGCTAAAGCAAATCATAGCTAAATATTTCCTGCAGACCCTTCTGCTTATCAGTTGTATGGAAACGGTAAATATAATTGTAAATGCATCCTAGAACTGTTTTGCAGTCAATTCAACTCAGAAAAGCACACTAAAGTGAACTAAACTGTATAATACAGGGTGATACTAGGAAATAAGTTGTTCTCACAAAGAGTTGTCCACACTTTCAAATTCAAAGGTGTTTAAAGCTGATCCAAATATCACACCGGTCATCTTCATAGAGAAAGTGAAACCCAATTTAATAATGGAGCTTAAAGCACATTTTTAGACAATTTCTCCTGAAAAACACTAATGGTGTTGCTCTCATACACACTCGAAATGACACATGGTTGTGTAATTTAAAACAAAGGAACTAGACAAAGAAGGTTAAACGTAACTTAGCCAACTACGTTGAGTGCTTGTGAAGGTCACTTTCAGGAAGTGACAGACTTTGTCACACACAGGTTTCCAAAGTTGCAAGGAGATCTGACATCTTTTTAATTTCTTGTACATTTTGCCTTTCCTTGTTTAGAGGCTCCAGACATCGGCGGTCTACGATGGGCATCGCCAACCGAACCTTCCCCTTCCTCACCACCGCCCCCAGCCCGCCCCACGGCACAGGCACCCCCGAGGACGGGGAGCCGTTAGAAAGCATAAAGACGGTCGTCACCGTTCACGCCAAGGAGTCCACCGTCATCTCCCACCTGCGCCACTTCACAAGCTACCAGATCGAAGTTCACGCCTGCAACCACCCGACCGACCCGCTGCGCTGCAGCATGGCGGCGTACGTCAGCGCTCGCACCATGCCTGAAGGTAAGGAGGCACCTGGAGCTCTCAAACAAAACATTAACATCAATGAGTTTCTACCTGGAGATGTTGGTTATTCTCACAAAAGGCGGCTTTTCATTTCCTCCACACAAATGTTTTCTCACTCTCTGTAAAGAAAGAAAAATAGTGGTTAAGTGAAAGAATGTCATCTGTTTGTTGGGCAACAAAAAGATTTTTTTATTTTGTTAACGCCTTCGACTTGTTCATTACAAAGATGTTTTTGTACTGTGTATTGCAATTCCTAGAATATTTGTTGAAAAGCTCCGTAAATAGGGGCCTTGAGCTTTCTTTAGAGAACATGCATTTCTGCACTCGTAGGAATAACCAGAAAGTCCAACTAACAAAGAAATCATACACTTCTTACCGTCCTTTCAATTCAACCCACCTTTTGTTGTCATGGCGACATAAGAGTCCATTTGTTTACACATAACATTTTGTTTAGCATTGCAATCCATCCAGTCAAAATACATGCAACAAACTCAGCGATCCCATCTTTGTCCTTGTCCATAATTTTAAAAAAACATAACACTATTCTAAAAGACACGGGGAGCCATGGGAGCGTAGGTAAAACTATAATGATGTCTGTTTTTCCGTGTGAGCAGAGGAGAGTGATAGAGAGAAAAAGAAAAGTATTCCTACTGGATACATCTCGTCCTCTATTTTATCCACACAAACCTGGGTTTTGCTAGAAATAGGATTTATAAGACAATGTGATTTTGTTCTCCCCGCAGACAAAGCCGATAACGTCTTGAGTCCCATCAACTTCGAGGTGACGGAAAATGCTGTGCACATCACATGGCAGGAACCAAAGTCTCCCAATGGCATGATCATCCTGTACGAGGTCAACTACAAGAGAATGGGAGATACTGAGGTGAAGAAACACGCACGCACGCACGCGCACGCACGCACACAGTGTTTTCAGTGGTTGGGTCACTGAGTACATGAGTTCATGAGTTTACAACAGCACATAAACAGTTATACTCATTCACAGTCACAAAGCACTTTTTATATTTCCCTTTCTCATTTGTCTAACGAGCCGCTAATGAAAGACAATTTCACTGACAATCAAATGTAATGCATCCATCTTTAAACTGCCCATGCAGCACAGACAAATAAGAGAGGCAATACTTATTACTGGACTTGCATTTTGAATTTGTGGTTTCACTAATGTGATTTGGGTGATAAAGTTAATGGAAAAGTAATTTTAGAGTTGCACCATGTTTCAGTTGCTATGGAGACAGGTCTACAAAACATCTGGCTGATGCTGCAGACTGTTATTCGCTGTGGAAAACAAGAAAAGACATGGATGCTTTCCACAGTGGAAATATGAAATACAACTTTAAATCCAATGCAAGTGCAAATGTTTTTTTAAACTGGGAAAGGATGAAGCATTGGTTTGTCATTTATTGTTCACATCTATCAGTTCTTAATGTGTGCACATGTAAAAATGTGTCTTTGATTATATCTACATATTTGCACACATATTTTTATATACATTTGTTTTTATTTTTGGGGATTGTGGGAAACGGTATTTCGATCTCTCTGTCTGTACACACAACCTGGAAGATTGACTATGACTTTGACTTTGACATCTGAACCTCGGCGTTGTTCTCCTGCAGGAGCTGCACTACTGCGTGTCCAGGAGCATGTTCAGAGAGACCCACGGCTGCAGGCTGAAAGTGATGCATCCTGGGAACTACACGGTAAGGATCCGGGCCACGTCTCTGGCCGGTAACGGATCCTGGACCGACCCCACGCACTTCCACGTAAAGGACGCAAGTAAGTCTGCAATTGACATGAAGGCAAACCAAACCAAGACATGCATGCATCAATATGATTCTATTCACACAGTTTTACAATCAAGTATTGCTATTTCACGTCTCTCAAATGCAAAACCACACAGGACAGGATTTACAAATAAGTTTGCACAGATTCTCACATTTTTTACTCAGTTTTTAATTCTATCATTTGACCGCACAGGGCTCCGTAGAAATACAATATTTGTTCTGAAATGTAACTTTAGTTCATTTGATATTTTATGAGATTAGTTCCCACCAGCAGCACACTTGATGAGATGGAACATTTGATTACACATCAATCTGAATGGATGCAAAAGCAGAAGATTAAAATGCAGATGCTTTGTATGACTAAGTCCTCTCAAGCATTACATGGAGATCAAGAGATGCTCCAAGTTGTACTCGTGTATGTTCACAGAGCCAGATATTGATCCTTGCGCTGCAGCTTGTTGTTGTTCTTACCTGAAATGTGACTCACTCTCTGTGTGTTGAACAGGCGATCCTCTCTACGCGATGAAGATCGTCATCGGACCGATCATCTGCTTTGTGCTGCTGCTGTTCGTGGCCGGCGCAGGATTTGTCATGTTCAAGAAGAGGTACGGAGTCAGTACATCCTGTTGTTGTCATGCATTATCTTATTATGATGTATTTATTAAAATAAATGTTGTGTTTTTCCTTTTAGTCAAACTCAAGGACCTAGTGGTCCAATCTACGCCTCTTCTAACCCAGAGTACCTCAGCGCTGCTGACGGTAAGCAAAGAGCCGTTTCATCAATAATATAGAAGCTTACTTATGTCCTCTTTAATATGCTCGCACATGACACAGCCTGATTGGATTTCCAAAACAAGTACATTTGTCGGAATAAGTCCAAAACCTCACTCTACTGAAAAACATGCCCAATGTTCTCTTCAGTCCTTCATTGTGTAACACTAGCCAGATGTTTTTAAAATGCATGCAAAATAACATCAGATTTGGAACATGCAAGAGAGGATATAAATCTGATTACTGATCAATTGCATGATCAAATTATCCAATTTCTTGTTCTAACCAACCTTCGTAAGGTCCTGTGAACTCAGTCGCTATAAGCTGCATGTGTAACGTGTTCCTGTAAAATGTGCCTGCAGTGTACGAGGAGGACGAGTGGGAGGTGCCCAGGGACAAGATCAACATTTTGAGGGAGCTGGGGCAGGGCTCGTTCGGCATGGTGTACGAGGGAATCGCCAAGGACATCATCAAGGGCGAGGGGGACTCACACGTGGCGGTGAAGACGGTGAACGAGTCGGCTAGCCTGCGGGAGAGAATCGAGTTCCTGAACGAGGCCTCCGTCATGAAGGCGTTCAGCTGCCACCATGTGGTAAGGAGAGACGACATGTTCTGAAACTCACCGAGCACTTAAACACAGCTTTTTGGTTACTGATATGTACAAGTGCAATGTGGGGTGTGAATCAATGAACCCCACAGAAACGTTTCAACTGTCCATACAGTATGTAGACACCAAACTGATCGGAGAAGGATATATCTTTTTTAATTTATTATTATTCTATTTCAGTTTAGATTTTTCGATTTCATTTAGTTTAGTTTTATTTATTTTTTGTGTTTCAGTATTTAAGTTTTATTTATTTGTTATGGTCTGTTGTTGTTAGTGCCAGGCATAATGTCTGTATATGTAGCTACATACTACTCAAACAAAATACATGGTTGGAGTACTGTGTAGGGATGGCCATAATGGTAAAATATTTTTGCGAATCAAGTTAAATTCCCTAGTTGGTTACATTGGACTTGAGACTTGAGAAAAGTGATGCATTTTAATCTCCTGGAATATCAAGTCAGTTCAATTTCAGTGGTTCAATGTCGAGAGAATTGACCGAAAAGCTGTCTTCTATAAAAAATATGTTTTATGACAAACTTTAATTTGATTTTCATTAGTTTATTTAACCAGGAAATAATCCTTTATTATTGTTTAGTTTTTCTTTATGGATATGGTTTATTATCTAGTACAAAAGCATTTTTTACTGCCTATTTTTGTTTAAGTTTAAAACAAATAACCCTGATCTAGAATAGTAGGTGCTAACTGTCTCACCATCCAGAGACCAGACCTACATATAGCTGTGTGAAGGGCAGCAGAGTCACCTTGCTGTTACCAGACCAGTTGTTTGTTAGATAAATGCATAATGCAAATAAGCCAGATTATATATCAAAATAAAAGAACCCTTCTTGTCCCCACAGGTGCGTCTGCTGGGTGTTGTGTCCAAAGGGCAGCCCACCCTGGTGGTGATGGAGCTGATGACGCACGGAGACCTGAAGAGCTTCCTGCGCTCTCTGCGACCCGACGCTGAGGTGATGCTCATATTTGCTTTTAGCTTTAGTGAACATGCAGAACTACTCGTATCTTCTGCCATGCTCTTATTTTTCTTTTTCTCCTTTCTGCTTTATGTAGATAAATGGTGCAGTGCTTTTTCTTATCTGTAAACACATTTCAAATGTGTTACTTTCTTATTTCCTTTTAGCTTCTGCATTGGAAATCCTGTTTACTGTTTTACTCAAATTTAGAGAAGTTAGGACTTCCTTCTGCACTTTATAATACACTTTACATACTACAGATGTTCAAACAGAGAACAATTTCAGTGTTTAAATGAACCAACAGTTAAGTTAACACAATAAGTAGGAAGTATTTTCTGAGGACAAATGTGACCCCATCTGCTGGTTTCCTCCCAGACAGGTTGTGGTGGATTCACGACTAATCCCCTAATATAATCGGATCATAATACGGATCGTCACACTAGTTTTACCTACCGTACCTTCAAATTAACCACATTTTGCGTCCGACCTTCAATTGTTTTTTATTTGTGTACAGATTATTGTGTACAGACTAGCTTGTACAAGTTATCTATTTACATCTTCTGAAGTGTGTCAATATCCAGATGGCACTTGGAATGCAATAGAAGGAGGTTTAAGTTATTGGATGTTGACAGAGGAGTTTAGCAGTCGGCACTTGGCAGCTGAAAGCAGACTTGTTTGGAGACGAACAGCAGGTCTCCAAACTGACTGAAAAGGTTAGGCTCTCGTCTAAAGTGCAAACCTCAGGTCAGCAACAACAGCAACACTGAGGCCACTGTCTGCTGGCTCCATCTGGTCCGAGCCCTAATGATCTAACAGGCTTCAAACATATATCAGAATCAATAAATAAACATCAATAAAAGACTCAGATTCAAATAACAGTCATATTAAAAGAGAAAAAAAATGAATAATGAAAATGATAAAACACAATGTATTAAATTATATTAGTGTGGTGGTCGTGTTTTATTTGGTGCCACTTATATTTTGTCATGTGTATTGTCGTGAAAATAGACTTGAAGTGTAAATAAAGGCTTCACGATGCGGTTTTGCACGTGAGACGCGAGCCTGCACGGAGACAGCTGCGAAGTTTAAAATGAGATCGTATCTATTGCATGAGTCGGCAAGTAAAAAATGCATATGACTAGCGTGCTGTCTTGACTTTTGAAGTTGTGTGTGATGATAAACTTTTGGTTTTGAATGAACCTGATTATTTTGACTTCATCCTGCGCAATCAAAGTTTCCAAATCACGTGCTGTTGACATGGAACAAGGTTTGAATTTTTATGTTAGCAGGTCAGATATTAAAAATCTGTCTTGTGTCCTTTCAGAACAACCCCGGGCGCCCGCCTCCCACTCTGAAGGAGATGATCCAAATGGCCGCTGAGATCGCAGACGGCATGGCGTACCTTAACGCCAAGAAGTTTGTCCACAGAGACCTGGCAGCCAGAAACTGCATGGTGGGAACCGACCTCACCGTCAAAATAGGAGGTACGTTTTGGCAACGATGCAGGGTGGTTCTGACATCACTAGGACAGCTTATTGAATTTGAAATAAGTATTTTACCATTTGAGGAGCCATTTTTATCATGTAGTCAGGAAATTGCTGAAAAAAGGGTGGGGAAATATTTTATAAATGTGTGGCTTTTATGCATCAATAATTGACAATGCTTGTATGGCGAACATAAGATATTCCACATAAAGCTAGATAAAGTTGTGTGGACTGTTAGTTTCTCTGTACGTTGTGTTGAAATGGATACATTAGCTTGTTAATGTAGACTCAGTGGCTTTTGGTTTGGATGTATAACCATTATAACCTATATATTCATTATGTTTTCTTAATTAAACATGACTTATTTATGCAGAACAGACAACAAACCTAAACTGGCTCGCCTCAACAAAAGCACCAAGTTGAATTACATCTATTTATTCAACATATTTAACATAAAACACAGATTTCGAAAGCAGATTAAACACTCCAGGGACGAAGAAATCCGTAAAGAATAAGTGCTAAATTGTATTAGTGCCTTAAAAACATACCACTTTGTATCAAATCACATCAGTGTGGGTGTGTATGACTGCAATCAATAACAATCTTTTCCTCGCAGACTTCGGCATGACGAGAGACATCTACGAGACGGACTACTACAGGAAGGGAGGCAAGGGGCTGCTGCCCGTCAGGTGGATGGCTCCGGAGTCTCTGAAGGACGGAGTCTTCACCGCAAATTCAGACTGCTGGTCAGTGACACCTCTTTGTGTGTGTGTGTGTGTGTGTGTGTGTGTGTGTGTGTGTGTGTGTGTGTGTGTGTGTGTGTGTGTGTGTGTGTGTGTGTGTGTGTGTGTCCGACCATCATTGTTACACTGCAGGCGTTGACTGCCTATTTAGCTCATGATATGTCTGGTAGTATACAGTATAAAGAGAATAAGTGCATGTTAAGTAGGTCTTTATCATATGAGATCAGATCATGAGTGTGTTCTGTAGCTAACCTGTTTTCATCTGACATTGTTTACTTGCATGGCAGCCTCCGCCCTCGGGCTCGCTGCGTTGAGTGTTTACAAACTGATTTCCGCTGTCAGGTGTCTAATTGGCTCGTCCTCTTTGTCCCTTTGTGGCTGTTGTTTGTCGTCCACTTGTATTCCAGGTCGTTTGGAGTAGTGCTGTGGGAGATCAGCACGCTGGCCGAGCAGCCGTACCAGGGCCTGTCCAACGAGCAGGTCCTCAAGTTCGTCATGGACGGAGGATACCTGGACCGGCCGGACAACTGCGCCGACAGAATGTGAGTACAAGAGATGGACTGAGAAAATATATTGTGATCATTTTCACTCTACTTGAGTATGTTGGTTGACATTGCTCAGTCACACAGATGTTCTTACTGTCTACAATAGAGCCTCAACAGGTAGTCAATATAACAGCCACAATTAGGGAGTGGGTTATATCCCGAAAAGTACAGAATTTCTGAGATTTTATTATAAGTAAATTGATTAAAGAATAAAACTCAGAAATGTGTGACCTTTTCATATCGGATAATGTTTAAGAAGAATGTTTTAAGAACTTGTAAAACGAACAATTAACTATGGTGAACGAACAAAACTAACCCCGATCTCACTCTTTATCCTCCACCAGACACAACCTGATGCAGATGTCTTGGCAGTACAACCCCAAGATGCGTCCCGCCTTCCAGGAGATCATCGAGATGCTGCGCGAGGACCTGCATCCTTCCTTCCAGGAAATGTCCTTCTTCTACAGCGAGGAGAACAAGCCGCCTGAGAGCGAAGACTTTGACCTGGACATGGAGAACATGGAGAGCATCCCGCTGGACCCGTCGTCCTACTCCCAGAGGGAGCAGTGCTCGGACAGGGACGAGGCCTCCTCCATGGGCCTGAGGGGCAGCTACGAGGAGCACCACATCCCCTTCACACACATGAACGGGGGAAAGAACAACGGACGAATACTGGCCCTGCCGCGGTCCAGCCCCTCATAACATACTGTACACATCCCGTGCAAACACATCATTGCTATAGATTTGAATATATTTTTGTTTTTTGTTGTCATTTTATATATAGCACACTTTTATCGCCAAGTTTGTGCTAGAATGGGTGGATTAACGATTCAACTGTGAAACAAACTCTTGACAAACAAGAAGGCTGCTAAACCCCTCCCGAGTCCAGACTGTTTCCCCCTCCCCTTAACTCAGCAAGAGGCTTCATCCCCGGGTTGCTACGTATTTTGAAAAAAGTGCCCTTCTATTTTGTCTGTGGCCTAAATCAGTTGTCATGGAGCTGTGTCTGAGTCTTTGTACGCAAGCGGATGACGAACTATGATTGAAAGACTTTGGGAACGCTGTTGGATGGTCAGATTCGGTCCATCGTCGAACAAACTCTTATCCACTGGAGAAGCTGGTTGAAGTGGCCTACCTCCTCACACTCTGCAGTATTCCAAAATGGCAAACAGGATAAACACAGGACTTTTGTTGGGTTCTATTTTTTAATTTTTATTTACGTCTCTTTCTTTTCCTTATTTTTTTTTTTGAGTTCACATTTACAGCTGAAGGATATTTAAACTGTTTTCAAAAACATGTTGGTGAACGAGTTCCTCAGATTGACCAATAGCTGCTTCTTTGGTATATTTTAGTGGGTATAGAAGATAAAAAAATATATATAAATATATATATATGAATATATTGTTGATGTTTTTGTACATAGCTGATATGTTGTCATTCTTGAGGTATTTACGATGATAGAAAATGTTTTTACATGTTAGTCTCTGTTTATTTTTTCTAATCCAGAAAATCCTACTAATTCGCTTTTTTTTGGACTCATGATCAACCAACAGCACTTGGTCTTTTTGCTACGTGATGCCTGGGAGTAAAGAGTGTTTGGCAACTTCAGCTTAAGATGTCTGCCCGTCATATCAAGATCAAATAAAATAGTGCTGTAAAATAAAGCAGCGAGGTGCATTCGTGAAGAGGCTCCTTCAGTTTTTTCTGATATTTTCCATTCTTTCATTGATACTGTTTTTCAAGTCAGTTCTTTGTTTCTTTAGGGAGTACTGAGATTGTTATGTGTGTGTATATAAAGGGAAGTTTGTGTTTTATGTCAGTGAGTATGGGAAGGTAAGAGTTAGTTCTCAACAGAGCCAGAAATGCAAACATACGGAGTAAACAAACTCGAGCCTGGGTGAGATGGGAATTTGCGAAAGGCCAACGCAGATATTGATCTTTTTGGATATGAGAGAAATCCTTTGGCAGATTATTTTTGTTACACAACCACTCAACACTACAGCCAATATTTTTTGGCAATGAATGCTCAAATATGTTTTTTAGAAGATATTCTATTTTTTACATACTGATAATTGACTCATAATGATTAGGCTTTTAATTTGGGATAAACTTGACCATAGTTGCAATCATTTAAAACAAGAAAGGCTAAACATAAATACAACTAAGTAAAAAAGAAATGTCCTGATAGATTCAAATGCAGCCTATAAAATGTTTATGTACAGTACTTTTCCATGTGTATGTCTGCCAATACGCCTATAGTATTTAATAAAAACCTATCTCTAGGGAAGAAGACTAATGCATTTATCAAATTGCATATATTAAATGCTATGTGCAGTAATGTTTGTAATTGTTTTTCATGCTGGATGGCTGTGTTCATGTATTAGGGTTAGTACAATGATGCCACCTGCTGGACGCCAGTATATGGAAACTACCCTCTATGTCAGGGGTGTCGAACTCAATTTAATCTCGGGCCACATTAGCATCATGGTTGCACTCAAAGGGCCAGTTTTATATATAAGACTATATAAAAATACATATATAAATATTTAATATATATAAAATAATGTATTATATTACATTATTTCCTCTGCATTGGATTATTATCGGATAGGGTAATAACTTCATAATTAACTATGTCTGAAAGCAGAGGTCTAGGGCAAATCATCGCAAGTCTCTTCATTGACAAACTGATTTAAAAAGAAAAGGCAAATTCTGTAAAAAAAAAAAAAGTCAAAATAAAGATAAATGACATTTTGAAAAAAAGGCAGATTCTGAGAAAAAGGCAAATTCTAAGAAAAAATGAATATTTTGAAAAAAAATAGTAAAATTCTGAGAAAAAAGGCTAATTTGAGATGCATTGTGGGACATGTAGTTTATGGGCTACGTGCTTCTATAAATCGGCCTGTAACCGTATAATAAACATATGATATTCTTTGCTAGCTCTTGTGGGGCCACAGAAAATGAAGTCACGGGTCAGATTTGGCCCCCAGGCCTTGAGTTTGACACCCCTGCTCTATGTGATGACATACTACATGGCCAAGCTTTGAACAATTTATATACGTATTAATCCTGCACATAACTGCACAACATTAAAAACACATTTAAGGATGAATCCAGATATGAAAAACAAGTAAGCTTCGAGGAAAATTGGTTTAACACTTCCTTATAGGGAGTTTAGATGAAGTCATGCCTGACATTTATCTGATGCTTTTATCCAACACGACTCGCAATTAGAGCAATAAACCATAAAAGTTTAAAACAAACAAGGTATGCAGGTAAAATAACTACCATAACTAGAATTGTGACCGATTTAGTGCCTTCCGTAAAGGCTTGTAAATATGGTGTTACAGATTAGCTTCACTTACAATGTGTATTTGTATATTGAAAGAGTTTGGTTGGCTCTTATTATTCCTTTTACTATTGTGAAAAGATACTTTTATCTTTCAAAGCGTATAGTGATTTTCTTTAACAAAGCTTTCTTAGCACCAAGTGTGGTTATAGGAGCTTTCAATTATAGCACACTCTTAACCAGCAGGTGGAGTCACGCACTTGTTATGAAATTGTAGATCTACGCAACGAAAAAACAAACAAACACATGAGTTCGTCAATTATAATTATTGAGGCATGTATGTGTGTTCATCACTTTAATGTTGTAGCTGGTAAAAGGTGAAGTTAATTTGCTTTATGTACTGCTGGGTATTAATATACAATTTTAGGCTACTATTTATTTTTTAAGGATCTTCATTTGTAAATTAACCAAAGTTATAAAACTATTGGAGTTAAAAATACATTATCTTCCCCCAAAATCTAGTGGCGTAGAAATGTTAAGTAGCATAAAATGGAAACTCAAGAATCTCAGATTGTTACTTAAGTACAGAATAACACCACTGCCCACCTGTCTTCAATTTGATACAAAAAAATGCTTAATGGAAAATGTTACCTGAGTTCCTACCTGCATTGCCTTTAGTTGCCTATAAAGAAAAGCTGTTCATTTTTTTCGAAATAAAACAACATCTCAGTTTTCACACAAACAGGTTTCCACCCTCAGCGTGCTGGGCGTGGTGTCATTACTTCTTACCGTAAAAGTAATCCTGAAATGTAATGTGATAATTAATGTCAATGCCAAATAATGACTGTGGAGCATGCAAGGTGCACAAGCATTCATCATGTAATTTAGACAAAGGTGGAAGATGTATTCAGGTTATAGCAATACTGCAGTGTTAAAATACTCTGCTACAAGTAAAAGTTTTAGCATCAAAATAGGATAAAGTACTCATAATGCAGAATGGCCCATTTAAGCAGCATATATTTAAAATGATTGTATTATATTTATTGATGCATGTATGTGGTCATCAGTTCAATGTTGCACTTAGTGTGGGCTATTTGAATTACTTCAATTACTACTGGGTGGTTTAACCTTTAAGAAATATATGATAATGTATTAATTGACTAACGTTTTTTTATTAATAACATAGATCTGCAAATTAACTTGTAACTAAATATGTTAAATACATGTAGTGGAGTAAAAAGTACAACATTTGCCAACAAATTGTAGTGGAGTAAAAGTATAAAATAGCACAAAACGAAATAACACAAGTAAAAGTACCTAAATGTTTTACTAAAATACAATACTTGAGTATATGTACTTAGTCACATTCCCCCACTTAATTGAAAGGGAATGTGAGCAGCTGTCGGTCCTGCTGGATGAACCTGCAGAATGTGTTGACTGAACTAAACCATTCCCACAATGGTCAGAGGAGGAAGGAGGGCTCATCCAGAGGAGGCTGGGATTTATTTTAAACGCCCTCCTCCAGCCATGCCTCCCACCTCCATTATATCTTAATGTGTGTGCACTTGTTCTTCCTGAAGCATCCTCACTGTGTCTCCTTTATTTTGGACATTGTTGGAATATATTCCATATATTGCCTTTCCGTGATAAAAACTTGCTGCTGCTGCTTTATTTCAATACCAGGTGAGAGGAAACTATTGTTTAATTGTTCTTGTTAGATAAGGCGGACAAGTTGATATACGACGGTGATTAATGTTAAAATGTGTTAGCAACGTAAATTAGCATGTTTTTGTTAGCATGGGTTAGCTACCTTTACCCATGCTAACTAACTTTATAAACATGTCGCCATAATGAAAACAAAAGCTGTTTCCTTTTAGTGTTTTGTTTCTTATTTGACTCGACATGACATGGGAAACTGACACTAATGTGTTACTTTAACTCTAAATTGAGGTTAATAAATAACGTATTTGTAATGTGACGTTGCTGTCGTCGGTTTAGTGACATTATGAAAGTTAGCTAAGGAAACTTCAATTTAATTTCCATTTGTCAACTGGTAATGTTAGCCTTGGGAAACATAGGTAGCTAACAAGTAGCAACCTGCTGTCACAGCTGTCTCAACTCTAGACTGCCTTGTTCTATCTCCCAAAACTGACAAAGCACCTGTCTCTGTTCAGTAATCCGACATTATAATGGATCATTTTAATGTTTGGAATCCAGGTCAGTAACTCTCACCTGTCACCTTGGGATTCCTCACATACCACCTACCGTTGATAACACAAATTCCCTTACGGTTTTGAGTTGTAATCAGTCACAGGAAACATCCAGACCTTATGGCTAAACTACATTATTGTGAGCAGTACTTTTCAAATAAAACTGTATTGCCATTTAACAACAATGCAAGATAAACAAACAATAACCCAGGCTACATATTCAGTGTGATTCAAGTTTAAAGAGTTTTCCGAATAATGTTCATACTATTGAAAATTACCTGGAAAAAAAGAAATCCAGTACAAATCTACAATTATTTGGTACATTTGGAAAAGCTCATGAAGAATGGACAGCTTAAATAAGTTATAGTAAAAGAGCTCAAATGTGTTTATTAAACAAGGTCATTCATGGAGGGTATCGGATCCAAATAGACTAGATTTGTTTGACAGTCTCATATGTTTACAATTAGAAAGTGCTGTAAGTTACACAGGGTAAATACTGCATTGCATGCACACATATGTCCCTTTTGGTAAAGGGTAGAATTCACCTGTTCACACTGACAGAAACAGATTGGCATGCATTTACACACTACACCAACATTAAAAAAACACGACAGTGTCGAGAAGTTAATGAGCAAACTGTGTCAAGGCTGGTTGATGTGACGGCATTATTTGTTATTTATTATGCCTTTTGCATCAGCTTTTGTGGTTTTAGAAAAATACTTCTGTGATGATGTGAAACAACTGCCCCCCAGGGTTTGTAAGAAACAAGAGCATTTCACATTACTTGGTTCTTTGTATCAGTTAGCTATTGTGACATCTTTAGGCTAAAGGGTAAAGTTTCTGGGATTATAACCGTTGATGGTCGGTTTCACTTGCCTTGTCATGTTGAAACATCAATAGCTCTTACTTGTTTTAATTGTGTTGTTGTTATTTTTCTCAGTGAAACTACTTTCCACACACTGCATTTAGCAGTTTTTCCTTCTTGTCTCTCTGTCCTCTGCAAGATACTTGGCAGACTTGCTGGTCTTGTTTTGTCTCTAGCAGGGAATGACCTGTATTTCATGCTGTTCTGTTCCCTTTCCACCCAGTGTGGGTGAATCATTTGAGGTGTGGCTGTCACTCACAACAAGGGGTTTCAACCGTTTCAACCTACAACCACAGTTAGCTAATAGCATACGAAGAAGCTTAGAAACATGTGCATAAAGAAAGAAATGTGATACGTAAGTGCCTTGAAAAAAAGTGCTTAACCCTGGGCCTCACTTTTTAAAACAGTTGCTTTGATGTCCTTAGAGAACTACAATGTCTACTACAGACACACATAACTGTAACTATAAATACTATATTGCTGATCATCACTTCCAAATAGTACATTGTTTTCAGAATTGTAACCTTTTTAAATTATAGTATGTTTACATAATGCAACAGTTTTTTTTTTTTGTGAAGTCAGATTTCAAAAATTAAAATAAAAGGCTAACATGTAATAAATGGCTCAATCTTATCACAAATATATTTTTCTTTTGGAGTATTGTAATACAGTCTGGGGCATTGTGATTCCCCCCTATGATTTTGAGGACGCAACAAGAAATGTTTGTGCAGAAGAGATCGTAACAGTGTCAAGATATGAGACGAGATTTTTTTGGGGCAAATAACTGATTATTTATTGATTGTCTGGCATTTTTATTCATGCTAAAATCCATGTCTTATCCCTGTGTATTGCAACTTTTTCTGGTTGGTCTGTCTGTCCATCGTTTCCCCTCTTTGGCCCACAAGAATGATCTCAAGAGCCAT